TCCCTAAGGCTGTTGCTCAGTGCTTTAGGCTTGTGTGTGTCTGTGGTCTCCCTGTGCCTTGTTCTGAAGGCTGGGTTTGTTGGATATTTCTGTCCATAGACAAATTAATATGCACAAGAAAAAGTCACTGAAACAAGACAATTGCACAAAACAATGGATTACATAAGGCAGGTGATCAAACAAAGGAAATAGAAGCTATCAGTGAGTGTGAGTATTAAATAGGGAACTGGGGTGCATTGGTTATGTAACAGCAGTGATTACATACACACACCATGTGTAGGTTCAAGGAACACTAGACAAAACGTCCCCATGTACTTTTGGTGCTGTAATACAGTATTGCAATCAGTGTATGTGGGGACGTTTGTCTAGGCTTCCCTGGATGTGCTCATGATGTGGGCATTTTTATACCATGATCATCACATAATCAGTGTACCCAGTTCCTTGAATGCTCACACCCACGTTGATGGTTTTCTACTTTTTTCTTTCATTTCATGGCCTGCTTATTGTAATGTAATGATCTGTGCATTTGCTTTATGTCAGCTACTCATTCTTGCCCATATTAATTTGTCTGTGGCCAAAAATGTCTGACAAACTCATCACACAAGACCACATGATGCAGGGAGCCCACAAACACATCTGTCCACCACACAAGCTATCCTGTAATGAGCATGCAGCCATCCTGTAATGTTCCACTGTGCATTGCCAGGCTGGCATTAATTTTTGCACCAAAATATCTAACAGGGTTGGATATTTCAACAGTATACCTGGTGCCTGCATCCAATGTACTTATTAAATGATGAGCATTGTAAGGGTTTGAATGTGTATCATATGTGATACACATTCAAGTAATCAATCTACAGAAAAGATATGAACTTGTTTAATTTTAAAAGGTCTTTGATAAAACTCAGATGGAATGTTTGTGGGATATTCTTAAGTAATCATGACATTAGAAGGAAGTAGTTGAGGGTAATTATTAAATTAGTTGCTGGGAGCAATGGGCTAGTAACCTTCTGTATAAATTACTAAAAAAATAAGAAAAAAGTTTATGAAGCTAGGATGTTTGAATGTGCATGGATGTAGTGCACATGATAAGCGAGAAATGATTGCCAGTGTTGTGAATGAAAAGAAGTTGGATGTCTAGCTCTAAGCAAAACAGTGCTGAATGGGGTAGGGGAGTTTCAGTGGGGAAAATAAAAGGGATTAGGTCAGGAGTATCTGAGAAAGTTAGAGCTATGGAAAGAGTAGTAATAATGTTGACAGATCAATTATGGAAGGAGAAGAGGAAGTATAAATATAAATTCAAGACTTGTGGATTAAAATAAGGGTTGTATGCAATAAGTGAGTTATAATAAGTGTTTATGCACCTGGAGAAAAGAGGGGTGTAGAGGAGAGAGAGATTTTTGGAGATTGTTAAATGAGTGTTTAGGATGCTTTGAACCAAATGAGTGATAGTGGTAAGAGATCTGAATGCTAAAGTGGGTGAAATGGTTATAGTGTGTGTGTGTGTGGTAGGAAAAGTTTGGGGTGCCAGGTGTATATGATAATGGCGGGCCTTTGAACTTTGTATAGAAAAAAAAAGTTTGGTAATAGGTCATACATATTTTAAGAAAAAAAAATGGATAAATAAGTACATATACAAGATATAGGGCAAAATGATAGCAGTTTTAAACTATGTATTGGTAGATAAAAGACCGGTAGACTTCAGGATGTGCATGTTTATAGAGGTGGGCAACAGTTATATCAGATCATTTATTTGTTGTGGAAGCAAAGAGGGGAATGTATGAGGGTATAGTTATGCCATTGTTCTTATATGGGTGTGGAGCATGGTTGGTGAGTGTTACAAGAAGGCTGGAGGCAGTGGAGATGTTGCTTGAGTGCAATGCATGGTGTGAATATAATGCAGAGAATTTGTAGTTTGGAAATTAGGAGGAGGTGCTGGGTTACTAAAAGTATTTTAAGACGGCTGAGGAGGGGTTGTTAAGGTGGTCTAGTAGTAGTGGTCTATGAAAGGTTGGAGGGAGGGGGTAAAGGAGGTTTTATGACAGTGAATAATGATGAAAGGGTTGTTTCTTCTTTTACAGATCACCTTGCCTTGCTGGGGTATGGCAGATGTGTAATAAAAAAAAGTTATATGGACATGTGTGATTTAGTAATTTAGTAAGATTAATATAATTAATATTAATGGTAATGTTATTCATAATGAATGTTAATGCACTGATAATTTATTAGATTCTGCCTCTTGCTTTATCTTCATAATTAGGTAAAGTGGTAATTGATGCCTTCAGACTGATCAACCCTAACATGATGGTTCTGGGACAAGAACCAAGACAGACTACTTCTAAACTGGGTCATTTACAGAAAACCTTCTATTCAGGTGAAGTAGATATATTGTGTGTCTTGTTAACTAAGTTTGATTCTGCAAGTAGAGGCTCAATAAGTTAAGTTGAGAGAACATATATGCTGTAACTGCTTCCAAGTTTAAACTTTTATATGTCAAACTAAACACTATAAACAGGATACCACAAGCATAGTTCTGCTTGGTTAGCCCTTTATAGGAAGGTACCCTGTTTGTAAAGGCTTCATCTAAGGAATTGGATGATGATAATCTTTCATTTCCTATGTGCTATATCACTCCTATGGGTTTAGTGGCTTCCACCACAAACTACATATTAGGAACCAATTAGAAGAAGGTGTGAGGTTACTAAAAGTATTACTGAAGAGGGCTGAAGAGGAGTTGGTGAGGTGGTTTGGTCATTAAGAGAGGATGGAGCAAAATAGGATGACTTGGAGGGGATATAAATATGTAGTGGAAGGTAGGAGAGTAGGGGTTGTCCTAGGAAAGATTGGAGGGAGGGGGTAAAGAAGGTTTTCTATGTGAGGAGCTTAGACATCCAGCAAGTGTGTATGAGCATGCTAGATAGGAGTGAATGGAAGCAAGTGTGGTTTTTATGACTTGGTGTAATGATGGAGTGTGAGCAAGGTAACATTTATGAAGGGAAATACAGTGCCTGCACTCTGCTGGAGAGTGGGGATATTTGCAAATTTGAACTGTAGTATTTGCTTGCCTCTGGCAAGATGGTGATGGAGTGAGTGACGGTGAAAGTGTTTCTTCTTTTTTGGGTCACCCTGCCTCAGTAGGAGACAGCTGATTCACCAAAAATTCCTTACCTAAGTACAAGCTTTTGGTGAATTGTTCCAGCCTTCATATTGTGACTTTTATTCTTTAGGAATCTTTTTCAGTTCTCTCATGTTCTTTTTATAATCACAAATGTAGATATTTTTTTTAGCACACCGGCCATCTCTCACCGAGGTAGGGGGAGTTGAAAAAAAAGAAATACTTTCGGAATCATTCATTTTCTCACAGTCTTCTCCAAGTTGTGCTGATATCCCCACACCTTTAGAGTGAAGTCACTGTACTTCTCATCTCTAGGACTCGTATCTGGCTAACCAGTTTCTCTGAATTCGTTCATAAAATGTTACCTTGCTTGCACTCGAACATCACTTGCAATCATAAACACTACTTGCCTCTACTCACTCCTATCTATCATGCTCACACATGCCTGTTGGATGTCCAAGCCCTTCACACACAAAGCCTTTACCTCCCTCCCCCCTTTGTCCAACTTTTCCTAGGATGACTCCTACCCTGCCCTCCATTTCGGATGTACACTCCTAGTCATCATATTTTGCTCCATCCTCTATGGATGTCCAAACCACATTAACAACCCCTCCCTCAGCTCTTTGAATAATACTCTTAAGAGCCCCGTGCCTCCTCCTAATCTTCATATTACGAATTCTCTGCATAATATTCACACCACACGTTGCCCCTAGACACAACATTTCCACTGCCTCCTTTTTTCTTCTTATCAGCCCAAGATAGGAGCTCCAGTGGCTTCAGCCTTTTTGAGAGATCCCTGTGGGGGTCCTTGACATTGTAGCATTTTAGCAAAGAAATCATTGCAAATATTACTTATGTATTAGATTGGCAAAATAAATGTAGGAAAATTTAGGTACGGAAAACAAATAACTTCCTGTTTATCTTCATTCTTTAAATATTTAATACTATGTGAGAGGAAGTTACTTGCATGGAGATAACAGCTGGAAGAATGGGTGTCTGTAAATATGTTGAGAGATCTTCTAATTATTTTTGTCTCCATGTGGGTTAATTCCTCTCATTGACACATGTTCATCTCACTTCATTGTATCACCATTAGTACCATATTATATGTTAGTTCAGAAAATAAGTCAACTTTGTTTTCACATCTCTTTCAGGCATTGATTCATGGACTCAATCGGCACTATTATTCAATCCCAATTAAGTATCGCATGAATGAAAGGTATGTTGGCAGTTACATTTCCGCCTGTTTTGTTAAGAGCGCAGAATAGTATATCAATGAACCACTTTATTCATTGCTTGTGTCTCTCCACTTGACATCTTCAATATAATATCAGCTACATAATTATTAGCTATGTATCTTTCTGTTTTTATAACACCTTGCATGACAACCTTGCTACTCATGCATAGTAATTATATTGCAGCCTGCAGGATAAATTTATTGCACACTGCAAGACAATTTTACCACATCCTGCTTGATAACTTTACTACAGTGCTTGATAACTTTACTACAGTGCTTGATAACTTCACTACAGTGCTTGATAACTTCACTACAGTGCTTGATAACTTTACTACAGTGCTTGATAACTTTACTACAGTGCTTGATAACTTTACTACAGTGCTTGATAACTTTACTACAGTGCTTGATAACTTCACTACAGTGCTTGATAACTTTACTACAGTGCTTGATAACTTTACTACAGTGCTTGATAACTTTACTACAGTGCTTGATAACTTCACTACAGTGCTTGATAACTTTACTACAGTGCTTGATAACTTCACTACAGTGCTGATAACTTTACTACAGTGCTTGATAACTTTACTACAGTGCTTGATAACTTCACTACAGTGCTTGATAACTTTACTACAGTGCTTAATAACTTTACTACAGTGCTTGATAACTTTACTACAGTGCTTGATAACTTTACTACAGTGCTTGATAACTTCACTACAGTGCTTGATAACTTTACTACAGTGCTTGATAACTTTACTACAGTGCTTGATAACTTTACTACAGTGCTTGATAACTTTACTACAGTGCTTGATAACTTCACTACAGTGCTTGATAACTTTACTACAGTGCTTGATAACTTCACTACAGTGCTTGATAACTTCACTACAGTGCTTGATAACTTTACTACAGTGCTTGATAACTTTACTACAGTGCTTGATAACTTTACAACAGTGCTTGATAACTTTACTACAGTGCTTGATAACTTTACTACAGTGCTTGATAACTTTACTACAGTGCTTGATAACTTTACTACAGTGCTTGATAACTTTACTACAGTGCTTGATAGCTTTACTACAGTGCTTGATAACTTCACTACAGTGCTTGATAACTTTACTACAGTGCTTGATAACTTTACTTCAGTGCTTGATAACTTTACTACAGTGCTTGATAACTTTACTACAGTGCTTGATAACTTTACTACAGTGCTTGATAACTTTACTACAGTGCTTGATAACTTCAGTACAGTGCTTGATAACTTTACTACAGTGCTTGATTACTACAGTGCTTGATAACTTCACTACAGTGCTTGATAACTTTACTACAGTGCTTGATTACTACAGTGCTTCATAACTTTACTACAGTGCTTGATAACTTCACTACAGTGCTTGATAACTTTACTACAGTGCTTGATTACTACAGTGCTTGATAACTTCACTACAGTGCTTGATAACTTCACTACAGTGCTTGATAACTTTACTACAGTGCTTGATAACTTTACTACAGTGCTTGATTACTACAGTGCTTGATTACTACAGTGCTTGATAACTTTACTACATTGCTTCATAACTTTACTACAGTGCTTGATAACTTTACTACAGTGCTTGATTACTACAGTGCTTGATTACTACAGTGCTTGATAACTTCACTACAGTGCTTGGTAACTTTACTACAGTGCTTGATAACTTCACTACAGTGCTTGATAACTTTACTACAGTGCTTGATAACTTTACTACAGTGCTTGATAACTTCACTACACTACTTGATAACTTTACTACAGTGCTTGATAACTTTACTACAGTGCTTGATAACTTTACTACAGTGCTTGATTACTACAGTGCTTGATAACTTTACTACAGTGCTTGATAACTTTACTACAGTGCTTGATAACTTCACTACAGTGCTTGATAACTTTACTACAGTGCTTGATAACTTTACTACAGTGCTTGATAACTTCACTACAGTGCTTGATAACTTTACTACAGTGCTTGATAACTTTACTACAGTGCTTGATAACTTCACTACAGTGCTTGATAACTTTTACTACAGTGCTTGATAACTTCACTACAGTGCTTGATAACTTCACTACAGTGCTTGATAACTTCAACTACGTGCTTGATAACTTTACTACAGTGCTTGATAACTTTACTACAGTGCTTGATACTTCACTACAGTGCTTGATAACTTTACTACAGTGCTTGATAACTTCACTACAGTGCTTGATAACTTTACTACAGTGCTTGATAACTTCACTACAGTGCTTGATAACTTCACTACAGTGCTTGATAACTTTACTACAGTGCTTGATAACTTCACTACAGTGCTTGATAACTTCACTACAGTGCTTGATAACTTCGCTACAGTGCTTGATAACTCACTACAGTGCTTGATAAACTTTACTCAGTGCTTGATAACTTTACTACAGTGCTTGATAACTTTACAGTGCTTGATAACTTTACTACAGTGCTTGATAACTTCACTACATTGCTTGATAACTTTACTACAGTGCTTGATTACTACAGTGCTTGATAACTTTACTACAGTGCTTGATTACTACAGTGCTTGATAACTTTACAGTGCTTGATTACTACAGTGCTTGATAACTTCACAACAGTGCTTGATTACTACAGTGCTTGATAATTTTACTACAGTGCTTGATTACTACAGTGCTTGATAACTTTACTACAGTGCTTGATTACTACAGTGCTTGATAACTTTACTACAGTGCTTGATAACTTTACTACAGTGCTTGATAACTTTACTACAGTGCTTGATAACTTTACTACAGTGCTTGATAACTTTACTACAGTGCTTGATAGCTTTACTACAGTGCTTGATAACTTCACTACAGTGCTTGATAACTTTACTACAGTGCTTGATAACTTTACTTCAGTGCTTGATAACTTTACTACAGTGCTTGATAACTTTACTACAGTGCTTGATAACTTTACTACAGTGCTTGATAACTTTACTACAGTGCTTGATTAACATTCAGTACAGTGCTTGATAACTTTACTACAGTGCTTGATTAACTACAGTGCTGATAACTTCACTACAGTGCTTGATAACTTTACTACAGTGCTTTGATTACTACAGTGCTTCATAACTTTACTACAGTGCTTGATAACTTCACTACAGTGCTTGATAACTTTACTACAGTGCTTGATTACTACAGTGCTTGATAACTTCACTACAGTGCTTGATAACTTCACTACAGTGCTTGATAACTTTACTACAGTGCTTGATAACTTTACTACAGTGCTTGATTACTACAGTGCTTGATTACTACAGTGCTTGATAAACTTTACTACATTGCTTCATAACTTTACTACAGTGCTTGATAACTTTACTACAGTGCTTGATTACTACAGTGCTTGATTACTACAGTGCTTGATAACTTCACTACAGTGCTTGGTAACTTTACTACTAGTGCTTGATAACTTCACTACAGTGCTTGATAAACTTTACTACAGTGCTGATAACTTTACTACAGTGCTTGATACTTCACTACACTACTTGATAACTTTACTACAGTGCTTGATAACTTTCTACAGTGCTTGATAACTTTACTACAGTGCTTGATTACTACAGTGCTTGATAACTTTACTACAGTGCTTGATAACTTTACTACAGTGCTTGATAACTTCACTACAGTGCTTGATAACTTTAGCTACAGTGCTTGATAACTTTACTACAGTGCTTGATAACTTCACTACAGTGCTTGATAACTTTACTACAGTGCTTGATAACTTTACTACAGTGCTTGATAACTTCACTACAGTGCTTGATAACTTTACTACAGTGCTTGATAACTTCACTACAGTGCTTGATAACTTCACTACAGTGCTTGATAACTTCACTACAGTGCTTGATAACTTTACTACAGTGCTTGATAACTTTACTACAGTGCTTGATACTTCACTACAGTGCTTGATAACTTTACTACAGTGCTTGATAACTTCACTACAGTGCTTGATAACTTTACTACAGTGCTTGATAACTTCACTACAGTGCTTGATAACTTCACTACAGTGCTTGATAACTTTACTACAGTGCTTGATAACTTCACTACAGTTGCTTAACTTCACTACAGTGCTTGATAACTTCGCTACAGTGCTTGATAACTTCACTACAGTGCTTGATAACTTTACTACAGTGCTTGATAACTTTACTACAGTGCTTGATAACTTTACAGTGCTTGATAACTTTACTACAGTGCTTGATAACTTCACTACATTGCTTGATAAACTTTACTACAGTGCTTGATTACTACAGTGCTTGATAACTTTACTACAGTGCTTGATTACTACAGTGCTTGATAACTTTACAGTGCTTGATTACTACAGTGCTTGATAACTTCACAACAGTGCTTGATTACTACAGTGCTTGATAATTTTACTACAGTGCTTGATTACTACAGTGCTTGATAACTTTACTACAGTGCTTGATTACTACAGTGCTTGATAACTTTACTACAGTGCTTGATTACTACAGTGCTTGATAACTTTACTACAGTGCTTGATAACTACAGTGCTTGATAACTTCACAACAGTGCTTGATAACTTCACTACAGTGCTTGATAACTTTACTACAGTGCTTGATTACTACAGTGCTTGATAACTTTACTACAGTGCTTGATTACTACAGTGCTTGATAACTTTACTACAGTGCTTGATAACTTTACTACAGTGATTGATTACTACAGTGCTTGATAACTTTACTACAGTGCTTGATTACTACAGTGCTTGATACTTTTCAGTGCTTGTAACTTCACTCCGTGCTTGATAATTTCACTACGTGCAAATAACTTTACTCGGCTGATAACTTCATACAGTGTTTGATAATTTTTACACGGGCTTGTTTTAACTTTACTACATGCTTGATAATTCACTACAGTGTGTAACTTCATACAGTGCTTGATAACTTTATACGGCAAATAACTTTATACTTTGCTTGTAACTTCATTTCCTACTTGATAACTTTATACATGT